CCGGCCCAGACAGGAAGCCTGCGGCAGGGCAGAGAGCTGGGCTTGGAATCCCAGGCTCGCAACCAAGCTCCCCTTGCTCGGGCGCCCTTAACTCGGGGAGCAGCTGCATTCGCAGCTCATGGAGACTGGTCGAGGGCTGCTGCTCAGGGAGTCGAGCTGGAACCCGGCGCGGCGAAAAGCACGAGTGGTCCTACCCGGCCCAAGAGATGCTTGGCTCACAGCCTCAAACCTTCAGCCTGGGGAAAGAAACACATGCGCACACTTCAGCAGATTCCATGCATCCAGACCCGCTCCACTGATAAAAGCAAGGCAAAGCGCTGACAGGCCGGGTTGAGTGACTGTGACAGCCTCCAAGGAGGTCTGGATTCAGACTTTCTTCCCCCACCCAGCCCCAGGCAGCAGAGAGCTGTCAACAGCCTGCAAACTCTCCAGGGCAGGGAGTGCTTTTGGGTCTGCCCAGAAACCCTGCCCAAAGGCCTGGGAGTTTGAATCCAGTTCCTTTAGACCGACTTTTCTCAACCCGTGGGTTGCGATGACCCACAAGTGGGTCACAAGATTATACAAAAGGGTTGCGAACAAGCTTTAAAAATGGATCAAACTTTAAAAATGGGTTCTCCTTTAAGAGAGAAAAACATGGAAACCTGTGGCTTTTCCCTTGCAGGCTGGCAGAGGTCCAGCTCCCCAAGGGGCTGCCTGGGGCCTTCTCTGTCCCACCCCCCCACCCCCTACCCCACACACGGGGGAGCAGGGGATGTGTCCTGGGGATGGGGGTCAGCAGGTTGGGAGTGAGGGGCACTCGGTTGGGACTGGCCAATGTTTAAGCGAGTCCTGGTACAAAAAAGGTTGAGAACCACTGCTTTAGACAAAGCCATGGGGCAGCTGCTTCTGGGTGAAGGGAACCCTAATTTCTAGTTGCTCGGCTGAAGTCGATTCCTGCCAGAATCATGCTGCAATTATAAGCCGGCTTTAATAGTTATGCTGCCTTCTATAAGAAAGCCACTTCAGCTGCTGGCAAATCAGTCAGACAGTAATTGAGATAGGACTTAAAGGAGTTTGCAATGAGTTAGTTAAACTAAGGAACAAGTCTGTGGATAAGCCAGGGGCTGGAGACATTCCTCTCCAGTCCCCCAAGTGCTGCTCTTAATACGTGGATTATTTTGGCAGGCTGATTTCCAAACCATGCCAAGGGTCTAGAAGCTCCTGGCAATGGCAGCTGATGTTGTGGACCTCTATGAAGAAAACGTGAACCCATCTTATCTGGGTGTCCAATTAATAGGGATTCTGGCTTTTAAGGGGAAGCTAAACAGGAGTGAAAAGCAGGGCCTGGAGGTTGGGACTTAAGTGGGACCTGGGGGCTCCTGGCTTGCAGTGCAGCCTGTGCCCACCTTGCATGGGTTTCTGTCTCTCTGCAGGGAACACGGCCTGGAGCGAGAGCCCTGGTATACTCCAGGCAAAAAAAAGTTTCTTGAATGAAGTGTGGAGGAAAAAAGGGAAAGGAAAGCGAGTACAGCGGAGTAGCAGGTACCTCCCCCTGGCGGCTGCCAGTCTGTAGCACATGATGCCGGGAGCCCATCACCGTCACCATCATCGTCACCGTCAGCTCCAGCGCCTGGCGTTCAGATCAAGAGCGATGCGACTTCTCTCCTCCCCTCCAATGACTTGGCTGGTGACACAGCACAGCTGCAGGTCAGGTCGCCGTTCCAGGATCTTCTTGCTCTTTCCGTGGCAGGCTGGAACTTGCTGCGTAAGGGACACGGTTACAGGCCCAACCCTCAATTGGGCACGGCGAGAGCCAGAGACTTGCGAGTCGGTTGCCATTAGAGGGTAATTTTAAAGATTAGTTTTTATTTGGAGGAAAACAGAAAAACAAAAACAAAAACAGAACAAAACAAAAAAAACCCAAGGGGGTGGGGGGGCGGGCAGGGGGATACATAATAAAAGACATCTCCCAGGAAATCCACTACAGATTACAAATCATTTTCATAGAAGATATTTTGTACACATTTTACATGTCATCTTCCGAATGTGGAAACCGCAACTCGATCCGGGTGAGCCTGTTTGGACAGCAGAGAAGGGGGTGGGGAGGGGAGGGGGTGAGGAGAACAAGCGCCTCTATGTTTTCAGATGCAATTCAGCGATAGCTATCTCGAGTAGAGCCATTATCTACACCTACGGCAATACTGCAGTTGACACTCAGCTCTGCTCTCTTGGTTTTGAAGCACAGTCCCTAAATCCTGCCTATGGTATGTGCTGACACCTTACTGTCTTTTTTTATTTTTTCATTTTAAACTAGCTAAAGAAAGTCACTGAAATAACCAACACCAACCACTGCAGCCTGACAGCAATGCAGCAAAGCCAGTGCCCGACAGAGGCAGCCCTAAACCAAGAACAGCAAGCGCGAGATTCTTTCCCCCTTAACTATGGGACAGAAGTGGTGGGTGTTCGTGCCTCGGAAGCCAAGCGAGTTTGCCTATCCACGTTGCAATGGAGGTGCTATGCTCCTGGGCTGGTTTTCTTGAAACTGGGGGTAACCCTTTGGTGGGCTGTAGATACCTTGTGCCAGCCAGGCTGTGCCTTGCTATCACCAACAACCCTGCCAGCAGCTCAGGCGATCTGGGGAGGGGGAATAAAAACAGCTAAAACATTGACAACCTGCCTTGAAGGCCTTCCTGGTTTCAGGGACCAGAGGGGATCTCCCTGGTGCTGTCTCCTCCGCAGGTCCAGGAAGCCATGATGCCAACCTGCTTGCCCAAGGAGAGGGTGGGAGCTGGATTAATTTAATAGGGAGGGGGGCAGGAAGACACTCTGGTAGGAGAGGCCTGTGCCCTGCTACCCCCAGGACGTTCTGACCACATCAAGCCAACAGCCCCAGTGCATATGGTTAGCTCTGTGTTTCCAAGGTGAGGGGGAAACTTTCTTTAGAAGGGGCTGTATTTAAAAATGTCTGTGTGTGCATGTGTGTTGTGGGCAAGGGTGCGATAGCAGGCAGCTGGAGAACCCCGGAGGAGGGCAGATACTGTTCAAGACTACCATCATTCCAGACGTTGGTTGATCAGGTCAGGCATGGCTGGAGGAGCAGAGCGAGGAGAGCACATGCTTCAGAAGCAGTAGGGTCATTCCTACTGGGTTCACAGCATCTGGGCCTTCCCCAAGGTGGCATCAACTTGATGTATCGTACCCAGTGATCCCCAGGGGGCAAGATCCCACTCTCACGTGCGCTCAGGGCTTCTCAATACAGAGAGGCTTTGTTCAACACCGCCCCCCTGCCCACACGTACCTCATGCCAACCCCTCGCCCCCTCCTCTGCTGTCAGGACAAACCAGGCAGCCTTCTCCTTCCCTAGTGCATTGGGCAATGCTTTATAATTGCATTGGAGTTTGGAGAGGAGACGGCCACTTAGAAAGGAAGCCAGAATAACCTCAGAACTACATCCGCCTACCTTCAAGGCGATCTTTTATTAAGGTAGCGTTGCAGAAGTCATCCGGTTAGGCTAGCAAGATGAAAGGGGGGGGGGGGGGGGCCAGTGGGCTCC